TGCCCCAGTGCTGTAGCTGGGTCCAGTACTTATTGGCCTGTTAAATGGAGGTATATCATTAACAGGGGGACCATCCCTCCTGTCATAGGCCATTGAAGCTCCCTGACTTACCCCCCCGGGCCCACCCATCATATCCCCAGGCCCGCCCGGATAACCCCTGTCATACACAATTGGAATATGTTAACTTATTTTCACTCTATCCTGTATAATGCACCAAAATTTTGCTCAAGCATAATTAATTGATCATATAATGCACTTGCAAGTATAAAATTAGTATAAGCATTACAGGTTAGAATAAAAATAAAGTTTCAATTCATAATTGTTATGCTAAAATATTTCAAAATGCTGTAAAAGGTAGATTCTTCTACAGTGTATACTTTTCTTAAATTGTTAACATTTATACAAACATTTTAAATGTTAAAAACGTTTCTCTACATCTTTAAATCACATACACTACTGATAAAAATTTACAGAAAAAAATATCAGTTTTATTAATAACTGTTAATTCAAATCTGTAATATCAGATTTAGAATGTTAAATGTTATTATTATAGAATTTATTGAATTATATCGGAAAAAATATAATTACCAATCTATCAATACACTAATTGATTAATACTAAATAATAAAATTAACTTTAACGCTGTAAAAGAAATGAAATATATTACCAGTGACTTTCATCATATCCTACATCTGTGTACCCTGTTGTCCCATATCCAGTAGTGGCAACTGCACCACCACCATTTCTCATAGGCCCAGTTGCAGCTCGATCATAATCATTTCTAGCTGTATAATCAACTGTACGATTTGCACCAAAATTATCTGTACGTCCATAATCCATTGGGCCTGGTGCACCACGATTAAAGTCTCCTGTCATTCCACCTCCAACTACTGCAAGATACATACATTTTAGATTAGAACAATAATAATTCTTATTACTGCCTGGCTAAACCTATTACATTTAATGAATATTAAGCATTCACAGATAGCTCTGGATTAACTACAATGTTTCAGATGGTTACATGCAACCTTATTTTAAGCATTTTACTTTGATATCTGAAGCATAAAACCTAACAATACAATATTCATGGTACAACCTTTTGTATAGTCATAGATGTAAAAATTATATTTATAAAATAAGCTTTATATAATATACATATGTACATATAATACATATGTTATTTTATTTTATTACTTAATTATCTTTTTATTTATTTTCAATCCACAGAATAAAATAAATTATAAATTTATGAAGAAATATACATTATAAATAATTAATATGTTATTATTATTATTATTATTATTATTATACAATGTAACTATTTCATTTTCATTTATAAACAAAAAATTTTTGTATGAATAATATATATTTTCAACTACTTAAAAGTATATATTCATTGAAAACTGATAATTGAAAAGTAATTTCATATTTGATTTACAATTTAAATAAATTATGAATATCAAAATTCCTGACAAATTATGAGTAACTTAAATCTTTTAAAATGTTTTAAACCTTTGCTTAAAATTAAAAAATTACATTTAAATACAAAGGATTAATAATGAACATTACATTATCCTGGCTAAATAAAACATCTACCACCATGATTACCGTAATCTGTTCTAGCTCCAAAATCTGCAGCGCGGCTGTAGTCAGTTCGACCATAATCGGCTGTTCCAGTCGGTCCATATCCTCCAACAGCTCCAGTTGCTGGTCCATATCCTCCTCCCATCCCAGGTGCCGTAGAAGTGTAACCCATCGCTGCGCTTCCCACGTTTTGACCATATGCTCCACGATCAGTGTATCCAGTCCCGAAGTCTGCTCCACGTCCACTAAAGTCTCCAGCGCCACGATTGTAATCGGTGTACCCCGTTGCGACGCCACCTGCAGCAGATCCATCGTAACCATTCTCATGGAAAGTTTTACATATTAATTTTATTTCTAAATAACAAATTTTCTGTATTACAAATGATATACAAAATTATAAGCAATGAGAAAATAGTGGTATCAAAGTAGAATATTAAAATTTGCTAACCTCTTCTATCATTGTATGGTCCAGGACGAGCGTCTCTACCACCGTCTCGTCCTCCCCTACCACCTCTCATTGGTCCACCTCTTCTGTCTCCATCCCTGCGTCCTCCTCCGCTACTACGCGATTTGCCTGTAGACTGTTCCACATTGATTGTAGCCCCTTTAAAGATGGAATTGTGAAGAGCTTTGATCGCTGCAGCTGCATCTTCCTCACGTGCCATGTGGACAAACCCATACCGATTCATGACATCGCATTCCGTTACCTCACCAAAACGTAAAAATAATTGTCGCAACTCATCGCTGCGACAATTTTCTGGTAACCGACCCACAAATATTTTTGTCTTTCTCTGGAAAATTGAAACATACAGTTAATAATTCTTATTCATTGTGTTTTTCTATATAATTATAATACATGCATTTATAAATACCAATTATTAAAGAAAATGTTACATTTATTTTGTACCTCTAAAATCGACCATACCACTGTTTGCAGAAAGTATGGTGTCTGTTTGAGATTTTATCTCGCTCAAAATTTTGCTATTATTACAAAAATCATATGATAATGATAATGTGATATCATTGAGCTTATACATAATAATTAATAAATACTGATATCTAATCTTACAAAAATTTACATATTAATTATAAATGATAAGTTATAAAAGTTTTTAATAAAATATATAAAAAAATTTACAAAAACACAATACCTTACGTACCTATAAACAAATTGTGCCATTCAACTTATATTAATCATTTATTTAAAAAAAGTAATATTATACATGAAAAATAAACAATGAGGCCATCAAATAATACAAAATGGAAAACAATTTACTATTAGCATTGTTCTTACCGGTTGGTTAGATGAAACCATTTTCTGAAAATAAAAAAATAGTGCAATTAATTACTACCTTGTGTTTATTATTGTTTCACTATTAAATGATTGCATTTTAATACGTATGATTATAATATTTCTATGGTCTGTAAAATAATAATATTTTGCAATCATTTATATCTATTATTATTGATTACGTCTATTATATACATTTTTGTGTACCTTATTATACATTTTGTACCAAGGTTTTAAAACAAGTACATTTAAAAGTTAGATAATTTTCATAGCATGATAAGAAAAGTTACATTTTAAATGAAAGTTTTTGCTGTAATTATGTATTATAAACAACACTATATTCTAATATATACAATAATATATTAACTACATTGATTCCGATATTATTTATTATAAAAATTCAATATTTTTTATAAAATTTTCTAAAAAAAAGTTACAATTTTCTTAAAATTATAGTTTGAACCATTTTAAATATTAGTGCAATAAAAATAATACTCTTCGTATGAAATGTAAAACATACCAAAATGAGCAATTAATAAATTATATAGTTTTACTTTTCTATAAAAATTATATTTATAAAATAGAATTTATGATTTCATTACTAAGTATTACTAAACATGTGTAATTTAATATATAAAAGAATTGATCATTTTGATTTTAAAATTACAATTTTTTTAATACACTTAACTTTATTAAATTGTATATATGTGTTTTGTTTGAATTTAATGTTACTAACATTAAATAACATAGAAAATAATATAAAAACAACCAGTGTCATGAAAGAAGCAAATTATAAACATTTATAAGTCCTTATATATGCTTTAAAAATTAGTACCTTTGGAAGAAATGGTTACATGTAAGCCTTAACATTTCCTTGAAATTTCCTGAAATGGAGAAACTACATTCCAAGAATATTAAACAGAATGCATAAAACTTACATGATCGTTATTACACAATTTATTATCATGTGAGAACAGGTGTCTTAAAATGCAAATAAAACAATTTTATATTTTTTTAAATAAATTGAAAAATATGATTAATTCGTTAAAATTTTGTTAATTTCAAGTAGCTGAAAAAAGAAATTAAATGAAATTTGAAAATTTGTGGCATCCCTTTCCGGTAAACGTAAAAGACGCTTATATGTTGTTCAAGGCCACGAAAGTTATCCGATTTTATCAATGGAAAGGAAAACAGTAATAATATGAAATAATATATTATAGATCAAATTTTAAAAACATATAATTGAAATACGACCCTATAATAAAGAAAAAGAGATATCTAAAAACAACCGGCCCTTGGCGTGCCCTAGTAACTGACGATATGCGAATCTCTTCACCACTCAAGTTGCAATTTTCCCGAAGATATTTTTGATCACCAAATATCTTATTGGAATATTACATTATTACTTACATGTGGCTGCGACGTTTTGGCGAAATTAAATTAAAGTAAAAAGGGATAAAACTTTCGTGACGCTATCAGCGAAACGAGATACGAAATGGCGTCAACGATTTCCACCTTGAACACTTTTGACGGCAAGCAATGCTCTCTGTTATATATTACCACTCTTACTTCATACAACGACAAAATCACTAGATTGTGCATAAGGTATGTTTCCATGAATAATATTTTTTTGGGAAAAATATAAATATTTAATATTTAATCTCTTAAACTATGGTTTAAAAATAAAAATTTATATTAAAAAAAAATAAGTGATTGAAAGAACAGATTAATATATATATTAAACTTGTACATTAATTTTAAGTATGTTAAGTACGTCAAGACCCTTTTAGTTCATTTAACGTAAAGAACTTAAAAATTGTATAGTGCAATTTTAATGAACTTTAATAAATTATTTTTTTTAGTATTGTAAATACTTATTGTAGAATAATTATGAAAAATTTATGTAATATAATATAATTTGAGAAAATTCTTCTGTTATTATGGTGTTTATTATATAAAAGATTAAAAGGTTATAATTAACTGATATTAAATACAAATAAAATGAGAAAAAAACAATTTATATGTTATATCAAACGAATGTTAAATAATTAAATTAAAAATACTTAAAACGATAGATTAACCAATTTAACCAAATATTGTTGATAATATTTAAAATAAAAAAAACATGAATTATATTTTATTAACACGAATGTATAGTTCTTCTACGTTACCCACAGTACAAAAGAGTGCAAAGTTAATCAGAAATGAATTTTTGGATTATTTTAAAAATGATTTGGGGCATACATTTATTCGATCAAGCCCTGTTCTTTCGTTTAATGATCATACAATTGCATTCATTAATGCTGGCATGAATCAAGTATGTTTTCTAATTTTGGTATTATACTGAATAAATTTGTCATAAATTTTGTTTATAAATTTTAGTATTTTATGTGAATTATTTATATGAGTATTAATTTTGTTCTTTAGTTTAAAGGGATTTTCTTAAATTATTATGATCCACCTGCAATGAAAGTTACAAATTCACAGAAATGTATAAGAATTAGTGGAAAACATAATGATCTCAGTATAGTTGGAAATGATAGTTATCATCACACATTTTTTGAAATGTTGGGAAACTGGTCCTTTGGAAGTTATTTTAAGGTACAGCTTAAAAAATATTTTAATATACTTTACCATTTTAAATTTTTAATTTAAATCTTATTAAATCAGAGTACTTTGTATAAAATATTTATATTTATAGAAAGAAGCTTGTCATTATGCTTGGAATTTATTAACAAAACATTATGGTATTAATGAAGAATTTTTATATGTAACATATTTTGGTGGAGATGAAAAATTAGAATTAATGCCAGATTTAGAATGTAAAGATATTTGGTTAAGTATTGGTGTTAAAAAAGATAAAGTTCTCCCATTTGGATTAGAAAATAATTTTTGGGAAATGGGTAATTCGGGTCCATGTGGTCCTTGTACAGAAATACATATAGATCATACAAAGCAATTAAAAAATCGGTGGATACAAGTTAATAAAGGTTTTACAGACCTTACAGAATTATGGAACATAGTTTTTATACAATATGAACGGTATGTGATGAAATAATACAAAAAATTATTATCATTAAACTTTGAAGTTAACGTTTTGACATGGGGTAGAATATTAATATTTTTATTGTCTTTGGAATTTTATATTAGTTTACCAAATGGCACAATGGTATCTCTACCCAAACATTATGTTGATACAGGCATGGGATTTGAAAGATTAGTTGCAGTATTACAAGGGACACAATCCAATTATGATACAGATATTTTTCAACCATTTTTTGAAGCTATTCAAAAATATACAAAAGTACCAAAATATGAAGGTAAATTTTGTGATGATAAAGATGGACTTGATAATGGATATAGAATATTGGCAGATCATAGTAGAATGATTACTATAGCATTAACAGATGGAATGGTACCAGAACAAAGGTAAATTGTTGTAATTATATAATAATTATAAGTAATATATTATTATTTATATAAATGTATACAACACTGATGCTATATAACCATGATTTTATATTTGTAGCAATAAACTTAGGAAAATAATAAGAAGATCGATTGATGTAGGTCAAAATGTGTTTAAAAAACAAAGAATTCTTAATGAACTATCATATATTGTAGTAGAAAGTTTAGGTGATGTTTATCCAGAATTACAATACAACCTAAAAAAGGTTGAAAACACATAAAAGTTATAATAAAAGCGATATAACATTTTATAATTCATTTATATATGATACAATATTTTACAATTTATCATATAATATGATTATATTTAGGTGCAAAAAATTATAGAATTTGAAGAAGAATTATATAAAAAATTACAGCATACTTCTGGCAAACAGTGGAGACAAATTATTGAAATATACCCGCAATTAAAATTAATTACTGACAAGTTGGCTCCAGGACTTAAAGATGGATATAAGTACCTTCAGAATTCGCTTAATGATCTGTAAGTCAAAGTGTAATCAATATATATGTATATCTGTGCTTTGGTGCTTCATATGAAGTATTACAATGTGCTATTTTGGAAATAGTTGTTTTATTATCATATAAATAAATTTGTTAGATGCATTTTTCACGAGTAAACAAAATAATTGTTCACACAATAAAGTCCTACATTCAATTGTAGATAAAATATGCTTGTATAACCAAATAATATGTATCACAAATTCTACCAATAATTAATTTTTTTACTACTAACTGTTTGATAAAATTGTTAAAGAATAGTAGGAAAAAGTTTGTACTATATTCATGAATATGTTCTATTAAAATTTTTTAAATAAAGTAATGCTTTATTAATAAAGAAATATTAAATTCTAGAAATTCAATGTTAATAATTTTATGACAATTTAAAATTTGTTAATTCTTTGAACAAAATTGAGGATGATAAAATAAATATAATATTTATATAAGGGTGGAATAGTAGTGAAAAATTAAAATAGTGTTTAGTGGCAGACATAAGGAATTCTTTATTTGAATAAAAAACTGTTACTATTTTGATAATGTAATCCTGAAAATCATAAAAAGACTTAAAATTTCATTCCAATGATTTTTACATATACATTGTAGTTTTAAACATATATAGATGAATAGGAAAACACCTAAATACATATAAGAACTATTTTCATCTTGAGGTAGCTACCAAATTGTAGTTGATAAAACAGATAGTTTAAACCATTTCTTGAGGTTCCCAATAAATTCAAAAAATATAAAAAAAGGTGAGAATTTTCAGATTATCTGATGTCCCATATTTCTAAAACTGGTCAAAAACCTTTTATGTTTCTGAAATTACGCTTATGCTCAACATAAAATTTTTCTGTCATTATTCTCATCCTTTTCATTTTCCACAAAATATAATCCACAATATGAAAACAAAAGAAAAAACAGGCGAAAAATGCACTTATTTTGTAAATACTCTAACTTTTGTTGAATTGATCAAACCTATTTTATTGAATTTACTATTAATTTTGTAGAAAAGTAACTAAGGTATTATCAGGAAGTATTGCTTTTAAACTGTATGATACCTATGGTTTAAGCATAGAAACAATACATGAACTAGCAAAAATTGAATCTTTGTATTTTGATGAAATAGCTTTACAAAAAGAACTAAAAAATCTTCAAAATCGATCAAGGATTGGCCTTGAAACAAATGATTTAACAGTTATAAAAAAGTCTTTACAAACATTAGAAAAAAATAATGTACCTAAAACTGATGATAGCTTCAAATATAAATATGTCCTTAACGGAAATAATTATGAATTTCCTAAAACTAAAAGTAAAATTCTGGCATTAATTATAAATGGTAAGGATTAATTGCTAGTTTACCTGTACTAATTTATTATTACAGAAACTTAAATAATATGATAGGTATACATTTATTTATTTGCTTTAGGCAATATAGTATCACAAAAAACAAATGAAAGTGCAAACAAAAATATCTCTTCAACTGTTAATGATATAATTAGAAAGTACGGTGCTGAGTTAGGTAAAAGTGAGATTGGAATTATATTGGATAAAACATCATGTTATTCGTTAGAAGATGGCCAAACATCAGATAAGGGTTTCATTTCTATAAAAAGTTTGAATTTTAATGTAACTAATGTGAAAAAAATTAATGGATATGTCATTCATTATGGAAATTTTTTACAAACTGATTTGAAGTAAGTTCTAATTTTAATTTTCATCATAATTATATTATATTTAATTATAAAAATACAAATATAGGAAAGAAGAATTTATTTGCATAGTAAATGGATGGAACAATTAAAGATTGGAGATAATTGTTTGGTTTCCATTGAACCTGAATTTCGTATACAAATAATGCAACATCATACTGCAATGCATTTATTACATGCAGCAATACAGCAAATTTTTCAAGCAGTATATCTACGCACTTCTACTATACTTCCACACATTTTAAAATGTCAATTTAATTCATTTGGAGACAAACTCTCTCTTAAACAATTGAAAGAAATTGAAGAACTTATAAATAATGTTATAAGAGCTGATGTTCCAGTTACCACAAAAATACTGAATGCTTTGGAATTATTAGCAGAAAAATCTGTAACATTAATACCGGGAGAAATTTATCCTTATAAGGATATTAGAATTAAAGAAATTAATTTTCAAAATTTAAAATCAACGTAAGTATTTTTAGGAAACAATAGATATATATACCAAAAGTAGTATTAATATCTTTTTTACCTAATAATAATTTATCCTATATATCTTACATAGAGAAGCATGCTGTGGTACACATGTATTGAAAACTGGAGAATTGGGATATTTTTGTTTCCTTAACTATTCCTCAAAAGGAGCAGCAAATATAAATATTACAGCAACTGTAGGATCACTTGCAATATCTGCTAAATTAGCAGGTAAAAATATACAGGATAAAATTTTGGATTTAGAAAATAAATTAAAAACTGGAGATGATATACATAAAATATTTAAAACAATTAGTAAGACGATTGAGAGTGAAATAAAAAATACTACTGAAATACCAATACCATATCTTATAAAAGAAGAATGTTTGATGAAATTAAAAGATTTAAATGAAATTGTTCAAATGCAAATAAAAGAAATGCAAAAGTAAATATTGTATTTTTCATATAATAATCTAGATACTATTAAAATGTATTGATTAAATTTAGAAGACTAGTTTCAATATAAAATTTTAATATTTATAAAGAACATATTTAGCTACAGTAAGTAAAAAAAAGTATTTGCATACAAGGAAATTCATCTAACCAAAAAGTTTTGCTTTTAATGAAAATTTATTTGCATGTGGAGTATAAGTTTTACATAGAGCAACTTTTTATGAATGATAAATGCTTTTGAAGAGGCCAAATAGGCTCCAAAGTTTCACTATATTTTCGTATTTTAAATATAATTTTTTTTTACATGTCCTTGAATAAATCTATGAAGATCGATGTCAAATTTTATAGTGGAAATCTATATTTTCTATTATATATTTTTATAGCTGATGCCAAAAGCTTTCCACAATATTATTTAAACATGTATTTTGCTTACATCGTTTTCGAGATGTGACCTCTTAAAGTTAACAAGCCGCTAGCATTGGTGTTACATGATGTACGCTAAGGAAGGTTGCTTGGTTTCATTTTGTACATCATGGTGGTTCCACTAAAAAGTTTAACAGTGGACTTTGTAGGCTTGTTCAAGGACATCATAAAGCCAGAAAAATATATAAATATTTTTAATAATTATAATATATAAAGATATACATTTTTATTTACTAATAAAAACAAGTAATTGAGGTTATGAATTGTTAAGATTGTAGAATTAAGAGTACTTTAAAATAAATTTAATAAAAATAAATTATATTCATATTAATTACTTTTATAACATTTTATGTAGAAAAAAATTGACGTAAAAAAAAAAGAAAATTTCATATATACATATATATTACAATCCGTAATTAGTTTCTCTTATTTAATTCATTCTTAACTGCTTTCTAATGTATTAAATGTATTAAATGATAAAAATTATAATACACAAGGAGATAATATATGATTTATTTAGTATTTATACAGTATTATAAAATGTTTTTGATATTAGCTTATTAATACAATACAATGAAACATGGTTTTTTAATATCAGTAAATTAACCCTTTGCGGCTGAAGCGGTCTAACGAGCAAGCGTTACACTGTGAACGAGATATTGACGCGCATAGTAGAGAAAATATACAGTAAACTTTTTAATAAAATCCAAGAAAAACATATTTAGTTATGTTATGTTTATGTATAACACATTTTATAATCGTGCATGGTATTGTATCGTTCGAAGCAATCACCTATCTACAAAGCCAGTTTAGCCGACTAAGTAGTACAATAATACCTTGATTCTCTTCTTCCATCTTTGAAAAATATTATACAGTCTTTATTCCTTTCTGTGTCGTCTTACCGAATAATATGTGAAAGGCTGTTCAGCCTTTTTACGGTTCCAGAAATTGAAGAATTTTTGGGATTGGTGTCACGAAAGTTTTCAACTAATTGATCCACCAAGCAACGTACAAATTGCAAATTCATTAATTGTCTTGTATTGTGTTTCTTTTGATTTTCTCATCATTTATTTGTTTAGTGTATCATGCGTATCTTATCATTCAGAAAGACAAACGTACGCGAGCTGCTTCATAATACGTCACCGCAGCTGTAAACAGATTTGGGCGGCTGTTTGCCGACACTCGACCGCAAAGGGTTAACAATAATATTTTTAAATATTCTGTTTCCTTTTTAGTATAATTATTAAATATATTCATTATAGGTATACAAAGGGACAAGAAAAAATGTAGCGAGATATTTAAATATTGTCTATATAAACAGGTTTATTCATTTTTATATTATTTTATATTATTTATATTATTAATAACTTTTTATTTTTTAATAGTGTATATTTATAATAACAATAATAACGTATTTATAATAATCATACTTTAATATTTATAATATAAAAGTATGTACAGAGTTCCTATTTGACATTATAGTTATTCACATTTTTTAACTCATTTGCATCCAAGCATGGAATAATCCGCAAACCACGATTGTCTCCTATCACTGAACGTGGAATAATCCGCGAGCTGTGACCTTTTTTCATTACCAGTCGCTAAATATTCTTTGTATGCGACAAATCACGTTTGATTCCTTTTGTGAGCATCTCACCTACATCAGTTAATTATATTCTTAACAAGTTTTATTTTTGTTTTATTTTATTTATAAAATAATTTTTATTTTTTCCTTTTTTATAAAAAAATGTAAAATGCGATGTTTGCGATATAACATTGTGTATCAATTGTTTCGAAAAGTACCATGTTAAATAAACTCCATGAAGAATTCCGAAGTCATTCACTGAACATACGACCAACCACGCGCAGTGATATGGGCCAGTCGTCGGTTGAACATCGCGGATGTCTGAACATGGCGCCTCAAGTAAAGTCATGATACAAATGGGTTAATGAAAATAACTTTTTCAAGCATTTATTTAAATGTTGCTTCTAGATGAAACTGCATTTAATTAATAAGATTAATGTAAAATATTTTTACAGTAAATGATTTAAATAAATGAATGAAAAATTGATGCATATATTGTTAGATTATTTGTAGATATTATTTGTAAATACGAATGAAATGTAATGTAATTAATAATTTTTTACATTAAAATCTTATATATTTATTAATCCAAAAATGTATTTTTTTACCAAAATACGTCAATATTTATTACATTACATTTGTAGTGCTGCTAGTTTATATTACAGTAAATGCATGGTACTCTATGCAATAAACATATATTTATAAATGATTTTTTAAGTGAAAACAATATAAATGTTTGCAAATAACTTTAGAAATTTTTGATAAGGAATCCATAGAAAAATTGAATGTTCTTATATTTGCAAGTTTTTAAAAACTTTACACATCATTTAATATATGAAATAATTGAAAGAATTCAAATTCTTATATCTTTGCTCATTAAAAGGAATTAAATGTCTGTTCTATTAAATTATACATATCCAGCAAGTAAAATAAATTTTTCATAAATATATTTGTATTTATTTACATTCTTTTTATATACTTATTTTAATAATAATTACTTGTTTGTTTAAATAACTTATTATTTCTTTACATGATTATTATAAAAAAGTCTCAGTGCATTCCATTGCTGTGTATGTAATAGTATATGAGGCCGTTTTTGTTGCATATATTCTACAGCTTTTTCTGGAGTCCATTGATTTTTCTAAAAAAGATTATTCTTATATTATAATTGTTAAGTTCATTTTACTTTAAAAAGATACTATATGAAATTTAAAAAAAAAAATTGATTTACAGTTTTAAATTATCTTACCATGATTAAGTAACAACCAACTAATGTTGCACTACGTGTTCTTCCTGCTTTACAATGAACATAGACACTTTTATGATGACAAGTTTCCTCAGCAATATCAGAACTGTTTAATTCAGTTTGAACATCACTAAACTTGTTAATAAAATGTACACCAAGTTGTAGCTTGTCTTGGGATGGCGAATGAAATATATCTGTTACAGATAATTGTAAAAATTTTATATTATGTTTTTGCCATTCCTGGAAAAATATTTGAAACCATGTATTTCCATGTTGTTTAATACATCTATTTAAAAATGTAAATAGATTCTTCTTTTGAATGTTATAGTTCTAATATATGTACAGTAAGATAATATGTATGTAATATACCTTTTCAGTATTGGAAAACAACTGTAGTTCATAATCTTCATTCATTGAAACAACACCCTTAACATTTTCTTTGGTTATCAACTAAAATTATTGCGATTTTATTTTTACTTAATTAATTTTTATTGTAATTTGTCAAATTTCAATTATGCAATATGTATAATGCGATATTATATTTTTTAAACTTTGCATCTCAAATTATAAAAAATTGTTTATAATATATGATTAGATACCTGTTCGGTCATATGTCGAAATGGTAGAGCACCTAATATAACAGTTTCATCGATTCTATCGTACCAATTTCTTGACGAAATTCTTGCCATTAATACATTATACAATAGCGTTGGATAAAATGTCAACCTTGCAAACATTGCCGCTATAATTGTAAAATTAATTTGTAAAAATTGGAAAATTAATTACTTCCTAAGCGGTAAAACTTAATATTTAAAAATTTATATATAGGACGTACATACATGTATATTAAGTTTTCCTATATAATTTTCGATATATAAGTTTTCGTTTGTGCCAATTTTATTTTAAGTATCTTTTTAAACTGTGTATTTCGTTAAAGACTTTAAACTTAATCATGATACAACAGGTTTACTAAGTGAAAGTAACAGACTTTGTACGTTTAAGGAGGGGGGGCTAAACGTTAATATAACGGAACCAAAAATCTTAAATAGGTCACGTAGTAAGATTAATATAATTAATTAATATAAGATTTAAATTGAAAAATTTAAATTTATAAACTTTTGTTAAAAAAATATATGTATAATTTATATTAATTTTAATGCATGGCATACAGTCTAAATATGTAAGAAGAAAAATTAATTTTTATTTAAAGTATTTTTTATAGAAATAAATTAATTAAAAAAATTAAATATACATTGTACTTTGTCTCAGTTAAAACAGTATTTTGAAGCAACTTTGTAATACTATTATTGGATCTATAATATCTAAAACTTATGATATTAACAATAAAATTTTAATTATAACTGAACTTCATTATATGAACTATGTGAGAGACAAAAGTGTTCACATAAAAGAATTTTTACATAATAGAATAGTTTGCACCAAATTCTATCTTATATCAAAAGTAGGAGAATAATATAAAATAAATATAATGTATTTATGGATGATATCATTGATAAAATAAAAAATGAAAAAGAGATATTATTTGAATCTCTTTCTTTTTAATGAAATTGAAGAAATGAAATCTGTAATGGTTAATTTTACAAGATTATATTTTTGTGTTAAATTTCTTGTACATTCTCTGTGCCCTGAGTTTATTAATTATGTCACATTTTTTTTCAGTTATCAGTATTTTTTGTTTTTATTTTGACAACATTGTGAGTATTATGTCATAAAATTATTATTTCTTATTATTATATTACTATAGTAGTATTAAATTATAATATATATAATATATCGTATATTATTATTATTATTGTTGTTGTGTTGTTATTACCCTAAAATGTACTACTTATATCAATCTCATACTCAATTACTGTAAATAGATTTTATAATACAGAAGGAAATAAACATTTTGTATGTTTATATACAATATTGTAATTGGAATTATATTGTTTATATAACAGAATATTCAAATAATGGATATACATATGATAAAAGTTCTGTTGTATTATAATCTTCTATTGAGGATATACTGTTACAACACTGAAATAATAAAAATATTTTCCTAAATTTATCATTATTAAATTAACAATAACGTGCGCACACGCACAGACACGCATACATATATTGTTATTATTTTATAATTGTATGTTTACATTTTTTTGAATTTTATTATTACGATTAGATATTTGGATTATTATGATGACATATAACAATATAAAAAGAATACAAATATTATGATTTATACGTAATATAACATATATAAGAAAAGTAACAAAAATAAGTTAAATATTGAAATTAAAAGAAATCTTTAAATAAATCTCAATAAAGTTTCAAATACTCATTAAGAAAAAAGTATTTCATTTCACAAATGAAGATAAGTATTAGAAAGATTAGGAAGATTAGGAAAATTAGGATATTTCTTAGATTTTTTTAAATTAGAAATTCAGAGATCTTTTGTGTTTATGATAATTGTTAGCTGAACTTATAAATATATTAAATATGATTTACAACATATATTTAAATAGTACACCAGAATGCAATTATAGTGACACTATTGTTGCTCTTAATTATCTATGACTGTGAAGACGAACTTTTTAAGATTATTTTACATAGATAGATTCTAAAATATAATATTTTAATATATATATTTCGATTAGATTAATATATTGAAGAAAAATGTAACATTGTTGTTATTATAGACTTTATAATTAAATTTTATCTTATTGGGAACATAATATGTCTTCATCTAAACAATAACAACCTAATTCTCCATTCCTGAACAAAGTAAGAAAATGTGTTGCTGCAAATCTTAAATTTGGTTTTACATGTGTTTTACCATCATAATTTTTTACGCTTATAGTTTTTTTCAGTTTTGCTGCAATATATATAAGAATGTATAATATACTATCATGTGGACTTGTCAATCCTAATTTTTCTACATATTCAAATCGCTTCTGTTTATTTAACCAAAATAACAAAAAATCTGCTAGTAATTCTGGTCCTATTAAATGATCTTGCATACAACCAACTAATGCTAATTTTAGACCAGTATATACATTATCTATTATAGGACTTAAAATTCCTGGTGTATCTATGATATAGATATTTGGATTTTCTAATATTTTTATTTTTGTTGATACAGACCGTGTAATGCCAGCAACAGCACCAACTGGTGCAGCCTTAGTTTTATGAAGGTTATTATTTCTTAAACGATTAATAAGTGAAGACTTTCCCACATTTGGAACACCAATAACCATCATTTGAAATGAAGTTTCTTGTGATCTGTTATAGCGATTTGACTCCTTTATTAATGTTCTTGCTAAAGGCAGTAATTGTTTAACACCTTCACATTTTACATTTTTAAAGTTGGTAAATAATACATTAGATATCTGCTTTTTATTTAAAGTTTCCATTATAGAATTTTTAAATTTCATATCAGTCAAATCCATTTTATTTAATATAAAAATATGAGGCTTTACACCAATTAATGTTCTGTTAAAATTTGCATAATGTCCAGAAATTGGAACCCTTGCATCATGAACTTCTATAATACAATCTACATGTTTTAATTGGTTTTGCATTTGTTTCAAACCTTTATTCATATGTCCAGGGAACCATCTTAATATATCGTTTGCTATATGAAAACGATCACGAAATTTGTATGCTACATTACCTGGATGTGCCATTCCGAAATGTTTTAACCTATATAGTTCTTTCTGAGAAATATCCTGAAACAATATTTTTATTCTATAACACATCAAATTAATCAGTGGATATATCATATATGACAAATATTCTAATAAATATGCACTATTATAATTTAATTGATACAATAACGAATATACTGTCTTTAGAATATCTATAGAATAAAAATTAAAGGTTACCTTTTACTGTATTCTATTCCTTTTATATGTAATACCTCATATTGCAGAAAGTACAAAATGGTTCTGATACAGAACTGTAACATATTTGGAAAGTTAAACATAAGAAACAAGTTATTCATGTATTAATACAAATACATGATAATATTATATAATTTATACATTAAACAATATCGTACATTGTAAAATACAAAATACTGTATATGCAGTATGGATGTGTAAATGAAATTGTAACTGTATAATATTTTATTAAATAAAGCATTACATTCATTTTATTTTGTGTTAAGAATTAATAATGGATACAATATACAAATAATATATATTTATATATTAAACCATGTTGTTAGTAGAATAAGTTGATTATATTGGAATTATAAAGGTTAGAAAAACAACTTTCACAAAATATTTGTTTGAAAGTTTTTATTTAATATTTAAAATGAAATAAAAATTAAAGGAATTAATGTAACTGCTCTGTTGTCGAATGTAATAATAAATTTAATGTAAAAAATATCATATCGTTAAATATTATATTAAAAATATTAAAAAGTATTATATTTAAGTAATTTCTTTAAAATTTGTGTATAATGAATAACACAACTTTTAAATGATTCATGCTATAATCAATGAATGTCATTTTACTTTAATTTATAAATTATTTATCTAATATATCCAATCTTGTTTAATAAATTATATCAAATCCGTAATTTAAACAAACTAAATATTACAATATATATCAAATTATATTAAAAAATGCTTATTTATAAGAAGAGCTTTCTGAAGTTTAAGCATTCATTTTTATTTCACATATTAGTAATATAAAAAATATATTTTTAATGTATTTTTATTATGCGCATGTATAATTAAAAAATCTTTTAGACAATATTTTGTAACGATTCAATTAAAGTACAACATTTTTTACTTGAGTTTAATTTAATAAACATTAAACAATAGTTTTATAGCATAATTGTATTATATTTTTAAGTAATCTTTTTTTACTTTAAAAGTGTATATTTAATTTCTACTTTATTTATTTTTGCAAATGTAAAATTGATAGAAATAGTAATAAATTTATGTATTATATGATATTTAAAATATGTTGTATTTCCAGTTTACTATAATTATAAGATTACTATATAACTTTTAACATAAGTATCTATAATGTATATACATAGAATGACGAAATATTGTTTTTATATGATATACCTTCTTATTAGGATATATAAGCTTTCAAACACTTGTTGCAGCGCATTTTTTGTGTAATATATATATATAAAAATTAAGAAAAAGATGTGAGTATCAAACATACATAAATTAAGAAGTTTAAATAATGAATAATATACATAAGAATCAATGTAATGTTAATTTTATCATTTTTATTTGTTTCTCAACATAAATAAACGAAAGTGGACAGGAAATTAGAATATGATATTTTATTTGTAACATCGATTCTATTTATTTCTACACTTTTATTAAAAAGCAAAAATAAGGTTTATAATTATCATTATGACAATAAAGCTATATTACAAAGTTATATTATATTTCTATATTAAGTACATTTATACAAAAGTTCTAGAAAATATAATACTATAATACTAGGGATCTGATAAGGTTGGTAGTCTTAAGAGCTATTTACAATATATTACTATTATCTTAACCTATTTTATTTATTTTATTATACAAAAGAAATAATTACATTTTTTTTTCATTCATATGGCAATAATTTTTCACTATTATTCTGATATATATTTACGTAGGTACAACTTATTATAAGATGAATTATCCAAATTTTATCATCTAATTGTAACTGACATAAATTTAAAAAATTTGAAAAAATATTTATTAAATTAACAATAAAGAAATTTGTAAATGTCGTTAATATTTATTTGAATGATATTACATATAAGAAATTAAAATATATATTTCATTTTAAGTCTTTATTTTTAATTAAATAGTTAAATATAAAATGTATAATTATAAATTGAAATTTAATTTATTATTCATGATTCCAGCCTAGAATATATTATTTATAACTAATTTAAGCAGATCGATATCTCTGAAGTAACTATCTTTATTTCTAAACTGCCTTAATGATCATACGATCTTGGCATAAAAACTTGCCATCATGTTTCGTTCACGATTGCGCACAGAGTATGTTCGCGGTCGTGCAAGAGTCCACATGAGCCTGTTGCCAGTTATTGATCCTGGCACGATTAAACAACACTGCATTGCTGTCAACTACGAAAACAATTCTGGTCACGCAGCGTTTGTAAAAACGCGCCGACAAACGGTTACGGTAACGTGTGCGTCTATATTTACACAAAGTACTACGTATCGAAATGTGCTGTAGTGCCTCTTCGACGTCATCGTTATTCTGTCAAAATGTAGAAGAGGTCTCGTAAGACTTGAAATATCGATGAGTGACACTTGCCATTCATACGCAAAGATGTCATCGGTAGTTTTCCGCGGAAAAAGAAACTTTTAAATAGAACGTATCGAAAATTCTTGTCATTAAGAAATTCCTGATTTTCTTGTTAACTGCATTTTTTCAAAACTACGTATTTTGACTTGGAACTCTAGGAAGACTTGAATTTGTGTTGCTGCTGCACATGTGATCCTTTCGGTGTTATCTTCGGTTCGTAATGAAGAAGTTTACAATTAAAGGCGTGCTCGACGGGTTCCGATCATCGGTACCGCAACCCGTCAAACCTGATCAGGAAATCGTCGAAAATTTACGGCCGGAACATTTTCAAGTAAAGAAGGTCAGTGACAATAATGTATTATTAATTACATCTTATACGTATATGTATATATATCTACGTATATGTGTATACAAATATATATATATATATATATATA